TTTTTTTGCTTTTTGGGATTATCAATTAGGGGTTACTCTACGTACACACAAACACGGAACACTTGAGTCGCCTCATGGCCAGCGACGTTTTGGATCCACTCTTTTTTTGACAGCTCAGTTTTCACAGGCTTCCAAAATATCTCTCTGGATATTTGTATATATATTTATGGTGTGTATACTATATATATTTGGTATTATCTGATTCGAAGCCGAAGCTATTTCTTTATCAGCAGAACGCCGCGTCTTGTCTTTCTATGGGAATTTTTACGTCCGCTCAGCTCGCGTTTCACTCTCGTACTGAGGCTCAGAGCGAAGATTCAGGGCCAGGGCTGGCCTTTGCCGGAGGTTCAGGGGCTAGGCTGATAAGCAAAAGAGCCGCTCGAGGGTCTCTCTTTTCTCCTCTCTACAATTCAGATGTACAGATGTTGATTCTCTTAAAATGTATCCTAGAACAATCGTGTGTGTCGTTTGGTCTATAAAAATCTACGTTATTTATTTTAAGAGTAGCGTTGTATAAGATTACTTATGTTTAAACGAACTTAGACTTTCGACAAATTGCTTTCATATCTCATATACGTATAACAAAAAAAATGTACCACACATCACACTTGGGTTATATATGAATAACATAAATTTGCCTACTTAAAGCTGCGATTAACGCGCTCCACCATGAGCATGTCCTGCCCTAAAATGTGCACCACCACTTGGACCCGCACTCGCACCCGCACCACTGCTGGCGGGCTTTGATTTTTCTGCATCTCCACTGTCCTCGGCATTCTGTTCTGCATCCAGATTTTTGAGCTGCTGCTGCCACATGTCCGCGTAGATGCCGTCGTCACGCTGGACCAACTGCTCGTGCCGGCCCCGCTCCACAATGCTGCCTTCTTGCAGCACAAGAATCTCATCTGCATGGATGATGGTAGACAGGCGATGCGCCACAATAATTGTCGTTCGATTGGCGCACACTCGGGCCAATGCCGCCTGGATGTTGCGTTCTGTGTGCGTGTCCAACGCAGAGGTGGCCTCGTCCAACAGCACAATGATGGGTGCCTTGAGCAGGGTCCGGGCAATGGCCACTCGCTGCTTCTCGCCGCCACTCAGGCGCAGTCCACGCTCGCCCACCTTCGTCTCGTAGCGATCGGGGAAGCTGAGAATCTTCTCGTGAATGTCGGCTGCTCGTGCCGCCTCATAGACGGCCTCGTCAGAGGCACCCAACTTGGCGTACTCAATGTTGTAGAAAATTGTGTTGTTGAACAGCACCGTGTCCTGCGGCACTACGCCTATGGCCTTCCGCAGGCTCTGCTGCTGCACGAGCTTTATGTTTTGGCCATCGATGAGGATGGCGCCCGTCTGTACATCGTAAAATCGGAAGAGCAATCGCATAATTGTGCTCTTGCCAGCACCCGAGGGGCCAACAATTGCCACAGTTTTGCCAGCGGGCACCGTGAAGTTCACGTTGCGCAGCACAATCTTCTCTGGGGTGTAGCCAAAGGTTACGTTTGAGAATTCAATGCCACCGCCAGCTGTGAGCAGTGGGGCACATCCGGGCGCATCGACAATCTCCTCATCCTCGCGCAGCAGCTCAAACATGTTCTCCATGTCCACAAAGTTCTTCTGGATGGCCCGATAGTAGGTGCCAAACCAGTTCAGAGGCATATACAGCTCCATTAAGTAGGTGGAGAAGAGCACAAAGTCACCCACGGTGAGGGTCTGATGATGCACCACCAAATACACGCAAAGCAGCGAGCCGGCCAGCAAGCCCAGGCACAGTATTATGTTCTGTGCGGTGTTTAGCATGTTGAGGGTGAGCATCGACAGGAATTCCTCCTTCTGGTACTTAAGAATGGCCTCCCTATAGCAATCCACTTCGTAGTTCTCCGCTCCGTAGTATTTCACTGTCTCAAAGTTCAGCAAAGAGTCCACGCTGCGGGCCCGCTGCTCATTGTCTGCCATATTCATGCGTCTTTGGTATTTTGTGCGCCATTCCGTGATGGCAATTGTTGAAGCTACAAAGATAAGACTTTAGAGCTAAACCAGCCACAGCCAGCGTGTTGAGATCTCTTACCTATATACAAGAACATTGTGAGGAAAACAATCAAGCCGAACCACCAGTTGAAGGCGTAGATGAAGAAGGCCACAGCCACGAGGAGATCCAAAATTGTGGGCGTTATCGAAAACACAATATAGTTGAGCAGATTGTTTATAGAGTCCGTGCCTCGATCCATTACGCGCAGCACCTCGCCGGTCTTTCGCTGCAGGTGCCATCTCAGCGACAACTGATGCAGATGACGGAACAGATCGATCTCAATCTCACGGGTCGTGTACTGCTGCACACGAATCCAGAGGAAGGTCCGCAGATTGTTGAACAGGCCCATGGTGCCAGTGCCGCCGCCTTGGAGGAACGACAGGGCCACGTAAATCAGTACAAAGTCCCAACGGAAGATAATCGGCTCGATGGTCAGGCTGTCCACTAAAAATGGCAGGGCGAGTCGGAGATTAGCCAAATGACGTTGGGAAATTCCTCATAAAAAACCGTGACCTACCCAACATCTTGCGATAAATCGGCAAAAACAATTTAATGACGCGTCCGGCAATCAGCATCATGATGCAAATGAGGACGGCAATTTGCAGTGCCAAGTCCTTCTTGGGCCAGAGATAGGGAAAGAGTTTGCGCAGCTTGCGCCAGCCATTCCTAAAAGCGGAACCCGTCTGTACGTTTGCCTGCGACTCGCCGGAAGAGTCATTGTCCAGCAGTCGCTGATGGTAGGGCGCCATAATGCCAGGAGCCTTCAGACCCAGAACAAAGATAAGCAGCGAGCAGAGGAATCGCGTGACAAACAGGCCCATTTCGATTTGGTCCTTGTTGCTAGAAGGGTAAGAAATGTTAGAAGAAATTTATAGAACTGGGAAGGGTATTTTATGGGTACCTCTTAAGATTGAACCACCAATCCTCGTGGCGTAGATTAATAAAAGCCAACGACTCATTGATGAAGGCCAGAGTCCAAAAGAGCAGCAATATAAGTCCATGTCCCCGCGTGGGCACGGAGGGGAGTTGATAGAAACGCTCCTTGAGTGTCAGACAAATGCTAAATGGATATGCAAAGCACACCACAGCAGTCGAATAGATCTAGAGGAAGGTCACAAGGAGGTCATCAAATGGTTTCAAGGGAGACAGAGAGCATTCTACTCACCATATAGCCATAGACCGCACTGTCTGTATAGATGCGAGCATTCAAGAAGAATCGCATAACAGCCAGCACTGGCAACAGGAACAGCAGGAACAATTGCAGGGCATACAGCCGAGACTTGGAGATCTGTGTGGGATCCGTGATGCGAGTGGCATACTTTCGGTACATCAGCAGCTGGATGCAGCCAAATAGCAGTACAAATCCTCCATATACAGACGGACCCACAGTGTCCATGAAGCAGTGGGAGATGCCATGATTGGTCCACACTTCTCTGAGCGTCACATTAGGCGGGCAGTACAACATTTTGCCTGTAGAACGGTTGAACTATTTACTCATTTGACACACAACGAAAAGCAGGCAGCTACTATGATAAGCCCTGATAGCAGAGCACGTCCGACGACAGCCGTGTATTCAGATAAAATCAAGCGCAAGCAATGACTGAATGGTTCTCTGACCAATTGCCTTTGTTTTATGGGGGCGGCTGTTTCACAATTAATCTCCGAAATTATCAGTCGCCGAAGCGGCACCAAGCGGGAATCACATTTGCCTCTACGGCACTGCACACTGGGAGATGGGTGCGTTGCGTGCTAATGGGTGTAGAACCTTCTACATTTAGCACCTACTCTTTCCAGCACGGCACCAAAGTTCACTTCACGGGGGAGAGCAGCAGCATATTCAATCAATGAAACTTGCAATTCATTCCACCCATTGGCTATGTAAAATTATGCAATGTTGCGCATGCTGTCTGGAGACGCTTGTACGGCTTTAACTGCTTACCCGCTATTGACGCCACGCACTAGTATAGCCTAAACAATTAATGCTAACTGATCTGATTGCTCAATTAACAGACAAAAGGGCGAGAATCGGCGTTAATTCCGGGTTAAAATCAAAACAACACAAAGAACACCAGTGTGACCGCGGAATTATCGCTCAAATATACCGACAGACCCTCGAATAATATTCACTTTCATTTTCAAAATATACTGTAACCTGTCAACCTAAAATCATTTTCTTCCACTTTGATCTTCTGTTTAATATTACCAGCTAGTTATGACTCTCAGCCGTAAAACTTTAATTTTATCCAAATCGTCATTCGATTTTAACAAGATTGGCTGATTGCCAAAGCTTCTCTCAAATATTAATAATGACTTTATCTTAGACTGACTTAGACCACTAACCAAATAGTATAGTAGATTATTAATTTGATGGAAGCGAAACGTCACTGCGTGCTCTACACGCACTTATACAAATGTAGCTGGAGCTGGGACTTCTAGCTGGGTGTTCTACACGCACTAATACTTGTAGCTGCGACGTTGGCAGAGGCCTGGGAGAGACGCACATTCAGCGGTGACGTTTCGCTTCCAAGAAATTAACAATCTACTATACTATTTGGATAGTGCTTAGACACTGATTGAAATGATTTTGAATCGATTGAAGCCAGAGATTTCCTCGACTCGAGGGTATCCATCTCTCCAAGGGTACTAAATATTGCAGTGCTGCTCACAAAAGAACGACTTAGTTCACTGAATAAAAATTAACGAACGAACACGTTCATTCAAATGAACTATGTTTACCCAACACTACTAAGAGTAAGTTAAGCTGGTTTTAAACGATAAGTCTGAATCGCGGATTCATGTGCACGTGTGATGCCCACAATCTCATTTCACGCATACAATCTCAATGATTCACAGAAAATCAAATCGATTTAGATATTTGGCAAATTCCTGTGCTCGTGTTCTCATTTTGAATCATTCGACATGAATCTTGGATAATTGCTGAGGCTAGTTGTCTATATATGTATGTATACACATTCGAAATATGGAATGACTTTTATCTTATAATTGCTTAAACTTTCTCCGTACTAGGAAAATCTTTATTTTTTGCTCTCATGACATGCGCCTTGGATTTAAGATGAACCGTTAAGTGTGTTTTTCGCTTGAAAGTTAGATCGCAGGTTTCGCAGCTGCAAAGAATAATAATAAATAACAATTAGGCCTATGTCAAAAAAGAACACAAACAATTTTACTCACAAAAATGCCCTCACGCCATTGTGCTTTAATTCATGCTCCTTGCGAATTTGCGGCGCGCTGAAACTTTTACTGCAATAGTAACAGGGATACGGTCGTACTTTTGTGTGAATTCTGTGGGACAGAAAGATTATGGTTACATTTAGAGCAAAACAATTACAGCAGGTCAGTCTTACTCACCGCTCGTGAATGGTGCGGGGTGTGCTATTTTTAAATGTCTTGTTGCAGTATTTACAGGCATAGGGCTTCTCGCCTCTGTGCTCAATCCTTAAGTGAAGCGACAGCAAATGTTCTGTGTAGAACTTTTTGCCACAGTCCGGGCAGGCAAAATTCTTGATGCCCGTATGCCTCAGCATGTGCAATTTGAAGTTGCTCTGATCGGTAAAGTGCCTGCCGCACTGCTCGCAGACACAATCCCGGCGACGCTGTTGCCGCTTCCTTTCGACTATCTCCTCCTCTGTCAAGTTATTCCAAGTCACGTATCTTCTGCGTGTACTTTTGGCTGTGCCAGCTGGCGTTGTGGCAGTTGCAACCTTCTTCGGTCGAGGAGAGGGAGAAGATCCACCGTTGCTTGAGCCGGACAGATCTTGTGCAATATCCTCCGATTCACCATGGTTTTCGCTTAGTGGATCGTCGTCGTCCTCTTCTGGGTCCAACAGCTCTTCCACATTTTCATTGGAATCGTTCATATTACCAGCCGACATGACCGCCAGCTCAGTATCCATTTGAATCTCCCGCTTCATTTCTCTGTCCACATCATAGTCACTCGCAAACTCTAAAGGAGTCCTGCTGCGCCGTTTCTCCAACAGTTTCTGCTGAGTCTGGATGCAGAGATTTCGGAACACGATTGCCTGGTTCAAGTCGTGCAAGCAACAAGCACAGATGCATCTCGGCAGCTCTGGATCATTAACGAGCTGCAAATTAAAGTAAAGACTTAGGAGGGGTTTGCGGACATTTCGTTGCCTTACTTGATGGAACTCACCAAAGTCCCGACCACCAACTCGACGTTCAGCAGCAGCTTAAAGTTTTCCTTCTGGAACAGGTTCTTAGCCTTTGTATTGTAGATGACGCCCCCGCAGACTCGGCATTGTAGCGTCATTTTTTGTTTTGGTTTTTAATCGCTATAGCGAATTGGATGGTTGCACGACTATGAATCACCCATTGACCAGGTTCAATGATTTTATTTGTTTGCGGGAATAGGGGGGGGGAGCCCTGCCAGAGCTTGACGAGTGCAAGATTTGTCTGCAATTGCGGATTGTTGTGGCCATTGATGATCGACTCTGTGAAGTGGATCAAGCGATCCAACAGAGTTAGCCGCAACATTTTTGTTATTTATTTATTATTTTAGGTAAAAAACCAATTATCGATAAGCTATACCGTCAGAGCCTCGGAAATGTACCTAAATATACCATCTCATTTTAAAAATATACCGTAATATACCGTTGCCTTAAATTATATTCCTCGATGTTTATGTTCCATTTGATATCACTAGCTTGCAAAGACTTGTTATGATCCGCCTTTTTGCCGCCCTGGTCAATCGTTCCCGGCTAGCTCTCTGGGAAGTCGGGGGTGTTTTCGACACGATATCCAGGGGACGGACTTAAAAAAAATATATTATTTTGCGTGTAACGGACAGATATTATTTGTACACGTATCCCATCTAAAAACAGTTGGTTCCACTCTTCCGCCCTCTCTCGTCTCACCCAAACTCTGGATTTCTACTCCATGTGAACATGGAGTTCTTTTAAAATATTCATATATACATCATTATTCATATAATTAAATAAATCCACTTCTTTCCTAAAACATTTTTACCTCGACTGACTATTACCCTTGCGGAATAAATAAATACTAGCATAAAAATACAGACATTACAACAAAAAAATACCCACGGATTCTATTTTTTGCCCGAGGTGGCATCCCCACTTTCAGGTAAACAGTTAAAATTTAAATGCAAATTTAAATGGTTAACTTAAACTAAAAAGAGTTCTTGCTAGTAGTTATTGCATTGCACGTGTATACATCAGGGGGGGGGGGGGTAAATGGACTCCGCTTACATTGATTGATTAAACGGACCTTAACGAAAAACTATTCTAACATATTTTTTTGTTGTTGTTCCTTTTTGTATTTTATTTTATTTCAATTCATGTGTGAAGACTTGTGTTTTGGAATATCAAGTCAAACGAAAATGTATGTGATAAGTGTGAATTGACTAAGTGTTGCTATGGTGTGTGTGTGATGGGTGTGTGGTGTATGTGATGGGTGTGTGATGTGTGTGGTATGCTTGGTGTGTGTGACGTATGACGGGGGTCTGGTGTCTTCCCCTGGATCTGGTCGCCGTTCGCGCTGGTTGCAGCTGCCTGAAGTGCTCCTCCAGTGGTGCTCCGGCCTGGCCAGTCTTGGCGCTGACCCAGCTGCTGGCTCTCTGCGTGGTGTCCGCTGCTGGTGTCTCCTCCTTCCTGCGCCGTCGTCGCCTCGTTTACAGGGTTGTGGGTTCGTGATGTTCTGCGGTGTCTGCACTTTTTCAATTTTATTTTTATTCTTCTTTTTTTCAAAGTTCGCTGGCGATTTATCTTTGGTCTGTCTCTCTTCTTTCCTGAAACTGACCCTCGCAATATAACCTTCACGGCCACGTTTCCTTCTCTCCTCTCCCTTGCCACCCTGCAACTCTTTTTTAGCTTCCCAGGATCCACACCAGAGGCCGCTGTCTCCTCTCCTTCTCCAGCCCTGTCGGCTATCGGCTACTTAGGAAAGACGTCCATAACAGACTTTGAACACTGAAACAATCATTTGTTTGAAGAATTTAAGAATTATTTTGGCTTATTATAAATACTCCTTTATATTGGATTACAAGACGGACCCGGCAAACGTTGTTTTGCCATATAAATATAAATAGCTTACTTATTGTAAGTGTGTAAGAATATTTTCAACAATTCGTTGTGATCGTTCAATAGAGCATCCAGCTCGCTGACGATGCGTCTGGCATAAAATGAAACAAGGTTATAATAAACACAACGCCAACGCCAACGCCAACTTGCCAACGCGATTGGCAAGTGCGCTTCCGGAATCCTCGCCACCCATGAAGTAGATTTGTAAAAATGTATGTGGTTCGTTTGGCATTGGCAGCAGTGAGCCCATTTTGTGATAAACTTGGCCTCTGATTTTGAATGTAGAATTGTATTGTTGACCATTTGGATTCGTATTTCGAACTATTGAATGTTCGCACTGACTACAGGAACACGTTAGAATCTGGATCCGTGCCGATAAGTAAACTGTTTAATAGTTCAGGTCGGGCTCATACTGGAATGCTGCACGCAGGAATTAATCAGATGTAAATGCTCGATGTACCTGTTGTCGTTGTTGGTCATTTGTTCTGCGTGGATTGACTATGAAACGGCGTGATTGTCAATGTTCTAATCTTCCTACTTCATGGCGTTCAGCTCGTGTATCTTCTAACTCTTCTTGACGAAATTGCGCCATTCTGACACGGATCTTCTATTTCCCAAGCTTCGAGGTTTACTTGTACTACGGCTCAAATCAGTCCCTTTGGCAAACGAATTTGAATCAAATCAAAAGTCCAACATAAATCCTTCTATTTATAAGGTATAACCTCTTTATTCGTAAATTTCTCAAATAAATATTCATGTTCCTTTAATACTTTACACATACACGAAAAAAATGTCATAATTTTGTCTACACTTAACAGCTAGTTTCTAGTTGCTAGATTCTAGATTACATTCAGTTTAAATTACTTGTCTTCTGAGTTGAGTTGGAGAAATGAATATTCAAAGCACAAGGAACAGATCAGATCGGTTCCGGGATGGGAGGGCCTATCCTATTTACAACGATTTATGGATAAAATTCGCTACTTACGAGTAAGGAAAGGAAAGGAGAAGGGGACTAAAAGCTACGCCAAACACTTCCACTGCAGAGTCTCATACAAATTTCGAATTTGATTTTCATCTCACTAATCTCCATCCAGGTCGATGGTTGTTCAACTTGGGTTTAACTTATTATCACAAACAAGTACATGTACATAATATGCATATAATTACGAGGAGAGTAGAGTAGAGCCCTAGGGCTTTGGGGGGGATGGCTGTTCACTCTACCCCCGCTTACAACTAAGAGTTGATCTTGGCCAGCAGGGGCTGTGTCACGGCACTGCCGGCCCCCACTGATCCGCGACCCGCCACCTGTGGATCAGCCAGGCCATGGCCGTGGCTATTCGAGGCACCCGTCACCGGCTTGCACAGCAGCTGCTTGTAGTTCTTCACCAGGTAGCCATAGTGGTGGCTGCCCACCACAGCAGTGGTGTCTGCTCCCAGGTTGGCTGTTGGAATGTTCTGGCTGCTGCAGCTGCTCGCACTCCGCTGGGGACTGCTGCCCATCACCAGGGGTTTGGCAATTGCCGACGGCTGCAACTGCTTCTGCTTCTCGATTAGCAGTGAGGTCTCGCCGCTGTCGGCAAACTTGATCCTCTGTGAGCTGCCCAGGCTGCCCGTGTCCAAGCCAGAGGCATTGGCATTGGCATTGGCATTGGCATTGGCTTCGCTGCGACTGCTCGTCAGCAGCGTTGAGATCGTGGGCGAGGGCTTCAGCCGGCTGCGGCCGGACGCTGGCGGCGGCTGCAGGATGCCGCTCAGATTGGAGTTCGAGTTCGAGTTCGATTGGACATGGCCGTGATTGTTGTTGTGGTTCTTGAGGGCTCCACTCAGGGGCAGCCGGAAGTGGGCCAGCTCCCAGCTGTCGCTGGCCTCCTCCATGTCGCGCAGCGAGCGGCTGCTGTAGATGTCGCACGGTTTCTGGGCGGCCTCCGCATCCAGATAGTAGTTGTTCTCAGTCTTTTGGTAGTCGAGGCTGCTGCCGTTGAGCTTGGGCGAGCTGGAGCTGATCTTGCGCTTCACCCGGAGGTTGGGCGAGCACTCCTTGGGCGGCGGCAGCGCAATAATCGGCACGGCGGCAGCCGCTGGCAGCTGTGGTGGCGCCGCCACAGCCAGCTCTGAGTATTGTTTGTGGAGTGAATGGATCTGGCGATGCGGCTGCTTGAGGGAGGATCGACGGGAGAGCATTAGCTTGCTGGGCGAGAGGTGGTCGTTCGGCTTGGGCACCTCTCCCTCCAGCCAGTAGGTGAGCATTTCGCCCTTGCCCTTCATGGGCACAAAGCCGCGGCGGGTCGTCACAAAGGTGCCGAACTCGTCCAGGGCCACCTTTGTGGTCTCGCTGATGTGGATCTTCAGGGCCTCCCCATTGGACTCCATGCGAGAGGCCGTGTTCACGGTGTCCCCGAAGAGGCAGTAGCGGGGCATCTTCAGGCCCACCACGCCGGCTACGCAGGCGCCCGTATGCAGGCCGATCCTCAGCTTGAGCCGATCCTCCGGCCGATGGTGGATCCTGAAGTTGTGCACTGCCTCCAGGAGGGCCAGCGCCAGGCGGGCTATCTCCCTCGCATGCTGATTCCCATTGCGAATGGGCAGGCCGGAGACCACCATGTACGCATCCCCGATCGTCTCCACCTTGTACACATCGAAGTTCTCCACAATCGAGTCGAAGCAGGTGTACAGATCATTGAGGAACTGCACCACCTGCATGGGTGTGCTCTCCGCCGAGATGGCCGTAAAGCCCACAATGTCACTGAAGTAGATTGTCACCTGGTCGAAGGTCTCGGCCACCACGGGCTGCCCGCTGATCAGCTGAGCGGCCACACTCTGCGGCAGCAGCTGGTACAGCAGCTTCTCGCATTTCTTCTTCTCCTCGTGGTAGTCCTGGGTGCGCTCCTCCACGAGCTCCTCCAGGTTATTGGCATACAGCTCCATGCGCTTCAGCAGATTGTCCACAATGTTGCCAGTTTCATTATCCCTGGAAAGCAGAAAGGGAAATGATTATCAAGGGTTCTCTTTACCCTCTACTGACTCCCCCACTCACTTGTTGAACTTGCGTATCATGGACTTGAGTGTGTTAAAGTCTGGCCTCTCGGCGGGATCCTCGGCCCAGCAGCGTCGAATGATGCCATTGATGTCGGCCTTGGTGTCGCCAAAGGGTTCGAGATCGGGTCGGAATGGCTTCTGCATGCGGGACGGATGATAGTTCTTCACCAGCTCGATGATCTCTGTGAAGGAATGGATGATGAGGCTTTGTGTTAGACTTCATTCACTTAATAAAGTTTCGATTGCTCCCCGAACTATGTAAATTGTTAGTGTCTAATGTCATTTTATGTCCTGCTCTGGCTGGGCAGCTGCTACACCTGCTACACCTGCTACACATAGGCATGTGCTCCACGGACCGATATCTACAATTGTTTTGTCCAGATCTTCTGCCGGGCAAAGCGCCCAACTGGTTTGTCTACAGCATGAATCCCAATTGGTTTCATCAGGAGGAGCTGCTGCGCTCCATCTACAGCACACAGGACCTGCAAACGGAGTGCCAAATTATGGGTCTAATGAGGTCCGTGTCCAGGTCAAGGGTGCAGTTGCCGCCGTCTGTGCTCAGACGAGTCGGTGGCATGGACAACAAAACGAAACCGGAACCAACCGATGCCGATGTGGTGTTTGGGCGCTGCGCAAAATTGCCGCCAGAGCCCCACTGTGGCTGGGGCCGATCACGCATCGAGTGGCTGTGGCAGCTGGAGCGACAGCAAAAGCTGAATCAAGCCTGGCTAGAGCCGCTCGGCTCCATCGACCTGGCCAAGAGTACTGACATCCGTGGCCAAAGCAAAAGCAAGAACAAGAACAAGAGCAGAGGCACACGGCATCCAGCAGGCTGCTGGTGCTGGCTTCGTCACAGCTGCGGCTTGGGCCTCGACTCCGACACGGACAGCCTGGACGTGCCCCGCTGCCACCCCGAGACGAGTTCGTGATTTGTGCCACGTCTTCCACAGGGGGCAGCAGCAGCAGGAACAGGAACAGCCCGTCGACAACTTTTCGGGTCAGCCGTGCAATTTGATTTCGATTTCGAGTGAATGTGTTCTGAGGCCGCAATTAAATTCGTCTTCTCCAGTCACAACTCTGAGCTCTGAACTCTCCAGAAGCTGGCTGCAAAAGTTACGCTCGGTGGCGGGCAAGTGGCAGGAGGAAACGCCGCTCGATTCCCAAACTCAAGTCAGTGCATAATTTGATGAATTTGTCAAGTGGTTGCCACGAGTGGCACTGTCCCTCTCTCTGTGGCAAGTTGTAGACCAAGTTTTGAGCGCCAATTGAAATCGGTGTGAGGTCTAAAGTTGGCTTTGCATGCATTCAATGCATTTAGTTTGTGATGGTGGAGAGACTGGGTAGAATGCTGCAAACTGGCAGATGGTTAAAGAAGCGTAAAGTCATTCCTACTTTTAGTTGAATCGATTTATTAACGCCTCTAATCCATTTGGGAGATTCCATTGAACAACTCAATGCTCTTAAATCTTAAATCCAGAATTATGTGGCGTTAATTTAAAGCATTAAATCTCTGCATGTATTAGCTTTAAGGTACACATCTGGTAAGCGTTTAATCACACTTGAATATCAGGTCATTCCCGAGGCAAACCATCAATTGACTGATGGTGCTCAGTCCACTCCACTGTCAGAGATTTGCCAGGCAGGACGTTCATGTTCTAATGTGTGGACGAAGCCATGCCACACAGCCACATGCAACAATCCAGCACCAAGCCACGGAGCAACCTCAACATGTGCAAAAATCTGGCATTAAAATTCCACACAACCAAAATCAGCCGCAACACGAACAAGGAAGAGAAATACTTAACACGGACAGAGTAAAGAGGTGCAAAGGATACTCAGGAGGAGGCAGGAGAGAGAATTGCATTGCATACACGTACGTACGTACCTTGTGGCGATTTCTCATACGCACACTTGCCGAGAAAGAAGGGGCCCTGTCGTGTGGTTATCTCGTGCACAATGACGCCAAAGGCATAGACATCGCCCTTCTGGGTGCCCTCGGGGGCACGGTGGTGTTCGAGCCTCAAGAGCTCTGGCGCTGTCCAAAGGAGGTCTGCAATGAGGGCGAGATTGTGATTGTGAGAGTGAGAAATGCAGTGAGAGTTGGTTGCGGTTACGTACTGCTCCAGTAGGCGTGGCTGTTGCAATTGCCTCCATCGCTCTCCAGGTCGTAGCGCGAACGTCGCAGCGTGTGGAGGCCAAAGTCTGTGATCTTCAGGACAAAGCGAGAGTCCACCACGCAGTTGGAGGACTTGAGATTGCCGTGCGAGCGAATGTCGGAGCTGTGCAGGAACTGCATGCCCCGGACGATGTCGTGCATGAGGGACAGCTTGAACATCCAGTCCAGCTGGAATTGCTCGTTCTCCAGTATGTCCTGCAGCGAACCCTTTGGACAGTACTCGGTGAGCAGAAAGCTGCGCCTCTGGTCCAGGCACGCTCCGTAAAACTTCACCAAATGATCGTGCTGCAGGTCCTTCATTCGCTTCAGCTGGAGCATGAGGTTGCGCGTGAGCAGCGCCTGCACATTGTCCACCTCGATGGGCTTGATGGCCACCTTGCTCTTGCGGAACATGCCCACGGGTATGAAGATCTGTCGATCCCCGTTTATGGACACCATATCCTCGGACATCAGCGTCAGTTGCGAGCTCTGCTTCACCAGCGAGTGGAAGGATCCGCGCAGGCCACGCTCGGCGGCATCCCGGAACATGACATCCTCCAAGGAGACTTTCCAGCTCATCGAATTGATCTCCGCCTCAGCGATGTAGTGACGATAGCCAAAGAAAAAGCACACGGCCATGATGATCACCATGCTGCCCAGAACTATCGAGAGTATGGCATAGCCAGGAAGAGCTGAAAGAGTCATCGAAAATGAAGGAATGATTCTGGTTTTATATTTATTACGAATCTACTCACAATTGTCGGGACACAGAGCTCCATCGTAGCCACAGCTGGGACGATCCGATGGCGCCTCCTCGCGATCCCCTGCCCAGTGGATTTCCTTATTGGACTCGAACTCCAATCGATTGTGCAGAAAGTGGGCCACAATCTCAAAGCGACCCGTATTGGGATTCATATCGAGCAGGGAGTACGCCGACAGTCGATCCCCATTGGCATCGATGGTCACGTTGCCGGTGATGCCCGTGAAGCTGCGGTTCCACATGCGACGCACCATGTCCGTGCCATTGATGGGGCGGGTCAGCATGCTGGGATCCTCGCGGATGCTGTCGTTCAGGGCGTTCGCATAGAGCAGGACCCCATCGAAGAAGGACGTGACGAATGCCGAAATCGGTTCGTTGTCGCTGAACGTGTAATTATATTTGTCGGCTGCAATGGCTTTGATCTGTAAAAGGCGAAATCCCACACCAAACGAATTAATCTCAACTGACTCGCTCTCTCTTATATCTGTCGCTTCTCGTTCCCCACCCTAGCCAAAGGGCACCATCAATTGTTGTTCGTGGCTCCTTTAATTGCTTTGGCCGCGAACAGCTCCTCTGTGAAAATTCAATTAAGCGTTTGCTCGCTTGGAAATGGCAAAGGATTGCGTTGGAGCGTCTGACTTTTTGTCACAATCCATGTGAAAATTATTGCAGACCGCCTGCCAGGTTGTGCCAAGAGCGGAATTCAGTTTTGGCCTTCCACTTTGACAGGGATTTGGCTGGCAAGAGTTTCGGTGCCAAGAAAGTACTAACATGTCTTAAGCTTAAAGACTCTCTCTCCTCTTGGAAACGTATTGATGGAAAATGTGGAGAAAGAGAAATGCAGGCCGAGCTCAGGGCTCTGTCAATGTTGGCAGCTCATTAGGCCAGGCGGCTCTCATGTGTGTTTGTGTGTGTGTCTCTAAGGACTAACGACGTGTATCTGCAGGCAAGTGTCCTGCTCTCTGACTTGCTGCTTATCAGCAAATGCAGCAGCAGCTGCCTCATTTTCATTTGCTTTCCTTTGGTTTGGCTCTGAGGCGATTCTGTGGGTTGGCTTTTTACGAGTCCACTTCAGCGTGAAGTTGGGCCAACAAATGGGCTCTCAGGTGTTGTCGGAGCTTCTCTGTTTGTTGTAAATTTACCATGTATCAACAGAAAAATGTGTACGATTCCTCTCCTTACCCCCTGCCGCTGCTCCGCTGCAGGATCCTATGCAAAATAGGCTATGGCCAAGAGAGGAATCGTGCACTGGCATTGAGTATGCATGAGGCAGAGGCTGGCCAAAAAAGCGAGGATAGCAAATTAAAGCAACAGCAAACACACAAAAAAGAGAAGGAAACAAACGAAGTGACTATAAAAGAGCAACAAAAGAAATCTGGGGAAAAAGAAAATGTTCAAATTGGCTGCCAAACCCATTTCGATGCAAATATGGAGCATCAACCATCCAGCCACCCCATCACCCACTCACCTCATTGGAGACCCGCGTGTACTCATTGTCGTTGGGCTGCTTGGGGGTGACGGTCAGCATGGCGGTGTAGGCCTTCTGGGCGCGCTCATTATTCAAATCCGTATCGTTCTTATCGTACCACGGCTGCGACGTCAGATAGGGAACCCTTCAAGAGAATGCGAAATATTATCAATCAAATCTCCCTCCTGCTCTTACGTACAGTCTGCCCTTTTATTTGTAATCAACTTTCGTATTTATTTTTGACTTAGCACAGCATTTTGCCTTATCAATGCAGTTTTAATTTGCCTTTGTGCCCTATCCGCTGTCGTCTTAGGTTTATTGCCAGCTTTGATATGCGTCATTAATTGTTTATAAATAGATTTGTAATTGTAAAGTGTGCGGAACCAGCACAAACACACACACACTCTCAACCAAAAAAACCCACACACCGCTACAGCTACTGATACTTCTGTTCGAAGATGATTCCATGTAAACGTATTTGAAGTACATAACCCTCCCCTCTGTCTACACAGTAGTTATCTGTGTTTCGGTCTAGATTCAATGCTACTAGTCCCTGGTTACGAATACACTTCACAGTTATTGATTATGAAGACTGCAAGACATCCATGTTTCGCTCAAGGTTCAGTCTGAGTTGCATTTATGAATGGGGTGTAAAAGACTCGATTGTGGACAGAAAAACACAGAATGGTAGTTGTCTAAGGTAAAAGAGATTGCGAGAAACAAAGATGGGGGAAAGAAAAGATACAAAGATGTAGGAGACATCTGTCAATGACTGGATATCCCTTATGCATAGTTTCTGTAGATTGTATGCATGATGTGCAGATGCAGGTGCAGTCGATTGGAGTAATAAAGAGATTATTCCAGTCTCTGAGAGATGGAAAGATTAGGAGATTTCTTACATTTGAAGTCAGAGCCTTGTTCAGGTTCTATCTATTATGTACTGATATGGACATATACAGATATATGGTTCTGGTATCTGGTATATAACCAGATTTTTGGTTGTATAGTGGCACAATCAAATGAGCAGTTATCAGACCACATTCTCCCATTAAATTTATTGAACAAATGATGAATGATGGTAACTTATATTTCGAGAATTTCATGTGGAATTCTGTTGATTTTTTATTTCAAAATAGATCTCAACAAATATAATATTTGCAAGCAGGAAATTGATCCCAGTTAATCCCAATGTACATACATATATGCCGGCATTCATACTAACATTCAGCCAAATGCACTTGCATACGAGGGCGGGTACGACTAGGGGTAGTTGTTTATAGATTACACTTGATGTATATAAACGCAACATTTTTCCATTGATTGCGAGTGTCATGAAGGTCAGAAGGCGATTAGAATGCATTTAATGGACATGCAAATGTAGAAATTGACTGCAAAAATATACGAGATTTCGCGAGAAATATGAAACTGCATATGTAGCTGGAGGAGGAGTCCAACCATCTGCCTTTTCAGTGCAACCAAAACATTTTCATCAGTTGTACAGATTACACTTTCGCATGGAACATAGTCGTAGAATTAATCATCGTAAGATCTTCTTTAATATTTATATTTGGCTCCCTAGGCTCTTTGATTATCGACTTCCTTTGGCAATATTTACCATTTTTGGTGGGTCACACAAAAAAAAGCTTTCGTGCTAGGGTGAGGCTGTGGTGAGGGCATGCGATGTGAGACAAAGAGATCCGACCCGAGAGCATTACTCAGCATTAATATTTGCGGGTAATCATACTGAATCGAAGTCCAAGTCCGAGCCCGAGCTAGAGTCCGAGTTCCCTGTACAAGTCTGAGGTGCTCTTACAGTCGATTTATGGCTTTAATCGATCTGCCTCTGCCATGTGCCGAAATGTGGAATTTCCTCAATTTAAAAATAGTTTTTGTTTTTGTGGCTGCCCAGAGAGGGGTAAATGCAGATGCTATTTATGGACAACTCCGATTGCTACATTTCATAATTTTAATAACCTTGACTAATGTCTGTACATATGTATGTACATACTCGTATGCCCGCACCTCGTGCGCAGTTTGTAAAGAATATTTTTGTTCGAGAGTGAGCGTGGTGTACTTTTATGTGTGTTATATGTGTGATATACAAATGAATATTTTGTTGTGTTATTGTGTTTGATCAAAGTGAAAGGCAACAAATTGATCACCTTTTGTATCTGTGGCGTCTGTGTACGAGTATCTGTGGTCTTGGTGTCTGTGAAGTAATTCAAAGATTTACTCACCGCGAAAATAACTCAATATTGATGAAAACATATTCGCCGCTATCGATCATATTCAACTCCTCGGCTGTCAGCATAATTTGACGTATCGACTGCGGATCGGCGCACATAATGACAACTGCAAAACAAAAACATAAAGAAAAGAGACCAAAATATGAAATACAAATGGTCATGTTTGTGGCCTGAGCTGGTGGCTCTCTTGTCATTAAAAATGTATTAATTTATTTGAAAGCTGTTGAAAACGAGACTTGTACGATTGTCAGTGGCTCTGACGTCAGTGAATGCAAAAACGGCGTAAGGAAGACAAAAACACATTGTTTCTTAAATTAAAACTCAAAAATATCTTAATGATGCTTCACACTCAAGTTGATATGAGTCTGACAGCACTCGATACCGCACTCGTTTTCGATATGTCTTCGGAACCAGAGTTTGTGAGAGAATGGGGAAAGGCATTTTCATGAGGGTTTATAGCCTAACTTTAACCAGCTTTATCCCTTTAATGCATGTTTATTGCATGGGTTTGGTTTCTGTACAATTTTCCAATTAGCTCCGCTCAAGCTAATTTGATATTTGCATATTAATTACTAATTGAATGCCAATCAAACTCATGAATAATATTATTGAAATAAGTTTCGCTTTGCGTATGTTTTTGATGATTAGAAAATTGGTAAAAGTTATCCATTCCTGCCAACATTTGTATACAAATTTTTCAATTTAAATTCATGCTCGAAATGTTAAAATAATATTGATAGCAACAGCTACAGACGGCTACCTGACGGCTGCTAATTATTTCTCGCTAATGTGCAATTAAAATGCACGAATAATAGATCTAATGGAGTCCATCAACCACAAATTGAATGTCAACTAGGGGAAAAGCAGAGGTTTTTAGCATATATTTGGGGATCCATTATGGGCAATTTCTGACAATTATTTTCTGATCTACATAGAGCAGCATATTTTCTTTGCTAATATAAATCCTAAATGAAATTGACCAGACACTCAAGAGTTCATGTAAATTTCATTAATTACAAATCGAATGTCAGGTCAACATATAAATACACATTCAAATGTCTCGGCTGGCTGGCACTCTCCATAAGCCATCATAAACTGGTCAATGTAATAGCCCAGACGACATGCAGCACTCATGATATGCAAACAAGCGGCTCCCAGGAAGGTATTTATATGTCAAAAGTGTTGCCAACAAATGAATAAACTATATTCAAATCAGAAACTTCTGCGTCAAAGAGAGAGAGAGGGGGGAATGTATATGTACACGTGCATACATTTACATAAATATATGTACATATATGATGCGTATCATAGCTCAAACACAGAACAATCAAGTGCAATTTTCTCAGTCGCTTACCCCGCTCAGTAATGAAATTTTCAACGTCATCTTTTGAATTTTCTTTGCTGAAATTTAATTACTTAAAAGATTTAAAAGAGAATAAGCTCTTGCCCTGGGCTTGGTTCAATTTCAAGTTCAGTGCAAAAAACTTGCAATTGACTTGATTTAATTATGCAATTTTTATTTTTCTTTATTTGTTTGCTGCTTGTTGCTTGTCTTTTAAATGTTACATCTCCTCTCGAACTTTTGCTCTGTTGTTTGCGAGTATAAAGTTAAGTCATGAGTGTGTGCATTTTTATGCCATGATATGAATAAGTAATTAAAAGTTGTGCCCTGAGTCAGCCGGAGGTGTTCTCAAGCATAAATGTTGTGGCCGAGGACTCTGAACTTTGCCTCGGCTTATAAATCAATAACCAAAGCAATGTACAAAATATATTGTGTGCCATAAAAAAATCATGTTTGTGTAAAGATTGACATCAGGAAGATATCAAATAACAAATTGAATAAATCAAAGCTCAGAACAAAAAGATTTTAAGTGAATTTCCTGAGCAGTAACTTAAGTTATTTCTTATATAAATTATACAATCAATAAAATAACAATAACACGTACAGATATATGACTAAGAAAGTACTCCTATAGACTGCCCTTGAACTCAGTTCTATTGTTAGACATCAACCATAACAGATAATTAACTTTCTTTGTCGGCAAACCCAAAAATTATAATGCACAGAAAACAAACTCATTTAACATTCAAAACGTTTAACGACATCATTATGTTTTAATTAAAATGTATTATATGGCACACAAAATCTATTTGGGGACAGATATATGATTTATGGAGTTTAACAGCAGTCATAAGGTGCATATGTACTTATACAAAGGCTTCTTTGTACGTCGGATGAATATATATCAAAGCAGAGTCCTCTTGGATACAGCTTTTGATTTTCGAAATGCTGATTAATTTCCCTTAATTTCCAATGACTTTAGGAAACAATAGAATCATATCTTAATCAATGACTTCTTTATTATTCCTAGTTATTGCTATTATTGCCTAGTAATTCCTAGGCACTTCCAAGCACTTTTTGTTCTCCCATTAAAATTCAATTAGCATAGAAGTGTGAAGCGTAATGCCGCGAAATGCCACACAAAATATGCATAAGGATTGTAATTGTTTATTGTGTTAATTGCCAATAAATGAAATTAAATGAGCTGTAATCAAACTATTTCATGCGATCCAAATGGGAAGGGATCGGCCACACAGGCAGACAGACAGGCATCAAACTCACAGAAGCAAAAGGCACATACTACTTACATATGCCTGATATTCGACTATTTGCTGTCACTCATTTGTGTCCATGACAACTGATGGCTTCATAACTAGCCCGCTGCTAATTTGATATTTTAATTAACAGCGAATCGTTGCCAATATTCATGCCCAACCAATACACATTTCACATTTGAATTCACTTACAGTCGACTGCAAACATTGCTCATACGCACCGCTGTGCACACAAGCGCAGTGCGACTGTGGGGACTATTTATAATATGACAGAGAGACAAATTAATGCAGAACCTGATCAGATATGTATCTTTGCACTGCAAACATCTATTCCTATTGGACTGGTTTCTTGAACTTGTCTTTGCCACACTCTTTGCGCTCTTTGCGTGTCTATAATTAAATCGTTTTCGCTTTCAATGACAGAGAACGCAATGAGGTTAAAACAGTTCAGGGTGGCTGTAAGCTTAAATGCACGGGCAACTGGCAAGTGCATCAGATGGGCAAACAAATCAACAAGGTCGTCCCTCTGTTGCATGCCAAGGAGGTCAAGAGAGAAAAGTATATGGGATGAGCACACAAAATGTGTGTGTCGGAAGTGGAAAAAAATGCATGTAGCTATACAATAATATTTCTAGATACTTACTTCTCGTCTGCATGGCCACATTCTTTAGCATTCGCGTGATGTCCGCCTTGGTCCAGGTGGTTGTATCGAATCCCAGCTGATACACCGAGTGCTTTTCGATGGTGTCGTGTATGGCGGCCAGGCACAGGAAGCACACAGAGTTACCTTTGACCTTGGAGTTCTCGTTCTGGTAGATCAGAGCAGTGCGCGTCCAATTGAAGCTGTTGAGAATGGCTCGCACCACATTTCCCAGATTATTAACCTGCGCGCCCTTGAGGCGGGTGAGTGTGGAGTAGCTCTCTGACTTTTTATTGAACTCCTTGGCATTGCCGCCGGTGGTGAGTACAGGGACCTGCCAGACATCCGCATAGCGTGAGATCGGAGCCAATACGTACTCGCAGGGAAGTCCAAAAACCGCATTCACCTCCGGCCACTGGGTGTAGATCTCGAAGAAGCCAATCGGTCCGTACTTCGAGGAGCAGAATGTGTCTCTTGAAATCAGTTTGATGTCGAAGTGGGTATCACCGACGAATCCCATCCGCTGGATGTGCCGAATGCCCAGCTCTAGGACGGGCAGCACCTTTGGCATTATGCAGTCATTCTTGTTGTCCGACTCCACAGAAGGCAGCAGGGCCACAAACACCAGCTGGCGATGGGCCACATGGTGGTGATTGGGCATGGCATGGATGGGAATGCTCGGGAAGTGCTGCACCAGCTCCGTGATCTGCGACTTGTGAGAGTTCTTGGTCTCGGGTGTCTTGAAGCTGTGCTCGTCGGAGCTCGGTCCCATGGTGGCCACGCCACCCACAGCTTCGACATCGTAGAACCAGGCCCGGGCAGGTCCTCTACTCGGCAGCAGCACCACCAGCAGCAGGCACAGGCTCAGGCCGAGGCTCAGTCCCCGTAATGTTGGCCGGACCGATCTGCCAACGGGGGGCATCTCAGATGGGATCTGTTCCGAGCTCTCCTCCACTCTGGGGAATGGTGTCGTTTTTCTCTCTGGATCTCTTACTCTCACTCTCTCAGATGTTCGGTTCGGTATACTCGATTGGGTTTGTGTCAAGCGGTGCACTTTGTCACTGATTTTGATCGCATTATTTATGCGAGTGCTTTTATTATTACCACAGCTTCTTCTTTAATTCATTTTCGATTTTACAATATATTTAACTTTTGCAGCAAGACCTGCATTGAAATTGGAGTTTTCGTTTATTAATTACACTGTTTCGTTTGCCTCGAATTTTTATTAATGATCGCCGATTGTTCAAATGTAATTACCCCTCGCGAAACTTTTCATTAGCCAACTGGTTCTTCCTCCCTTTATTTGGTTGCCATCAATTTTAATTAGTGTTCCTACAGGAGGCAACGTTTTATTTTATTTCATCATCCATTTATTGAAGCATTCACAAATATGCACAGCCGCCGATTCCCATTGAAGGATAAGCCAAAAATCCAAAATAATATTTACTATTTGCATTTATAAATATACGCGTACGAGTTCGAGTATGAGTATGAGTACCGTAAATGCAGGCCGTGAATAACAGCCACATTGCAATATTCATTCCATGTAAAACACTTGTGTGTGCTGGCAAATTGCTTGTGGAGAATATGAATACCAAAACACACAAATAATAATCGAGTTTCGCTGTAAGTCGCAGTTCGAATACTCTAAGCTTTAGGTTTCAAAATGTACTTTTAAGAAATTCCGTAAAATCAGAGAAAACCCATTTCAATTTTAGTGATACTTCGAGCTCTCTGAAATCGGTAAGAGCTGTCCAAGATTCCTTTCAATGAAATCAGAACCCTCCACTTCATCATTCGAAGGGTATACAAAACGGAGAGCTTCACAAAACTCATATACAAACTCTTGGCTATTTTTAGCTTCGAATCGAATTACAGATATATTTATGCAAATGTTTGTTAGGGCCAGACGCGAACAGTCCAAAACGAACTGTTTGGCGTGTCCATATCGACGATCAATTGTTCTTAACAGATACAGTTCTTAAGAAGTAATACTTGAGATGTGAGAGAAACCCGCTTGACATCTTTTGTTTTTTTGGTTGAACTTTTGGAACATTCAACAAATAAATAATTGATTGGAATACCCGTACAATTTGTGTAAGACAACGCATGCGACTAAAACAAAAGGGCTAAAAATAAACCCAAAATGAGGTATTTAAAATTATTTTGACCTTCACCTGAGCTCCGAGGGAATAAGTATATTGTTTTACTTTGTACTGACACGTATTTCGGTCAGCTTACTTTATTAATTTAGTAAGAGAGAGAATAGTATAAATCTTTGAGCAGATTGTCGAATTCGTTACAAATTTAACGGCAATTAGAAAAGTAAGTAAAGAACGTGGCGAATCATTTTAATAGGGGGAAGAACTGAGGAATGATTCAACAGAATTCCGAAAGAACATTATTGGGGAGAGTGTAGTTCCTGGTCTCTGAGCTCTTGACCAATTTTTCCGTTCTCCATTACCATCATGATCTCCATTATAATTCGGCGGCTATGCGTTCATTAAACTCAAATCCAAAACCGAATAACATCGAAAGCCTAAAGCCACAAAGATATACTTTTGTATCTAAAAATAACCGCAGACAAAAAAATGCCCCTTCAAGCCATTCCAATGTGGCCTAAAGCGCCAAAAGACACAACAAACAATAGTAATAAACACAATGCAATGAAGAAAAAAAGTGGGTTCGCCATTCGAGAGATCTATATAAAAAAATAAAATAATGCTACCATAATGATGCCCTTTGGCGTTTAACTTTTTCTCATATCCACATCTCATTCTTAAGATTTGCGGAGCGGTAAAATATGAGGAATATGTTCAGTTATGATCGTGCCTAGCAGTAAATTATGTTTGGCGCATAAAAACGAACATGTAAGTATTAGAGCATTATTTTCCTCGAGTGGCGCATACATAAATATTAATATTAGACTTTGGCTGCCCAAAGATCCAGAAATACTATTTCCATTCTTGAAAAGAGACTGAATGAAATACGCAGTCTGTTCTATGAATGAACTGGATATCAAACGTAAATCTTTCTCATTAAATCAAGACTTTTTCTATTCGTTTTATCGGTTAGTAACTTATCATACAAATATTCTGATATAAGAACCACCTACAAAACCGCTACTCAGGAAGCGTCAAATATTCACCTACGTATACCATGCTCATTTCACATTTTATCGATGTATTTGACATTTAGCAATACTTTCAATCAGTTGAAGATTGATTGATGCCTGATGCCAGGAGACAGAAACCTCAGTGCTGCGCAACTTCCATTCTCAAGGTTGTCGGACAAACAATTCGTCAAATGCCAAAAAAATATAAGAAATATGGGTCAATTTGAGGCTTGAGACCAAGCCAGACAGGAGCGACAGTCAGAGAGCGAGAGAGAGATATGAATAAAAGGAGAGGGATAGATAAATTTGTATTTTTTTTATTTACATTTTATTATTATTTGAATTGTGTTGTTTTTTGTTTTGTTTTTTGTGTGGTTTCAATTTTGTACGCTTTTCGGTTTTGCGTATATGAGTATTTTTTATGAAAGCGGGTCTTAAGAGTTTACACGTGCCGTGGATTAACAGATCCCTCTTTCTTCACCTCTCTCTAAAGACCCCCTCGGAGCTCATTATGGGCCTCTATTGGAGGTCCAGTCCACGGGGTGCCCCATCAGGTAGCAATTGTTGAAGGTATGTATCATGGGATGCCGTTAGACGTTACTCTCCCACTGTGTTTGAGACGCTTGATTTATGAGATTTTAATCTAAACTTCACACACATTTTTTGTGGGTTTACTATCTTTCATCATTCCATGTTGATCGGTTTATGATAATTCTTTTATTTGTCTCTCGCGCCTCTGACTATTGAGGTTCACGCTTTATTAATGGGTTGCCTAACTGGCCCCAACTGTTCAGCTGTTCAACGTCACCTGTCATTTTGGCTTATGGCTATTTTTAGAGCGTAAACCCCAGTCAACCAAACCAGCAGCTCTCCCGTCCAGCTGTCGCCTTCGGACACTTCGCGATTCTGCTGTCATCGACTTGGTCATGTGGTTTAATTACTTTCCGTAGACCCACAGACTATGCAAAATAGCAAAATGGAACTGATTTATTTTCCATATGAAAAACCAGCCCGCAGCTTAAAACCGTTCAAAAGTCGTTAGAGTTATCATTTGGATAATTAAATAATTAGCTAATCTTCCATTTTTATGGTCTTTTTATGTGTGATTAGACACCTTAGTGAAGCATTCATTCATATTAAGCAGGGGTAATGTGGACTATTAAAAGGGAAATCATTAAGAGAAGAATATGATTCATAGGGTTTTTGTCTGCCAGAGCACTTTGTTACAGTTGAGAAGTTGTTTATCTCTTCAGAATAATTTATGGTTAAAAAAACAGATAGATTAGCAAAAAATCCACTATTATAGCGAATACCCAAAATAACTTTTCTACAAAAGTAAAGTCTACTTTCTTCAATTCTTTTCTGTTTTCTGATAATTCCCTTGAATACAAATCAAATAATCCAAAGAAATATTTATCATATTTATCATAGCTTTCTTCTCTGAATATCCACATTTATTTCTTAGATTGGAGAGTATTCCTGGGTCGCTGTTAAGCTGGTTGGCCATAGTATGTAGCCTTCTTTACGGTCATTACTACTTACTACTCTTTATTTGTGAGCTAATATTTTTGTTTTGGTTTATTTTCAATTGTTTTTTCCGACTTATTCGTAGGTGCTGTCCAAGCTGATTTCAGCTAGAGCGAAATATGAACTGAATAATTTGTAGAGTGCTCTGTTGTTATTTTTAGCACTACCTGAACACAATAAACACACACAATCGTATGGCGCGTAATACTGAGAGTTAGGTAATCGGTAAAAAGCGGGAAACAGTATCGAAGTATTTTCCAGAACCGGCCATCAATATTTCTAAAGTACTCTCACTGCCAGTACACAGAGTTAAGATCATTAGTTAGTTGGTATACGATCTCTGCAGATCAACTTAATGAACTCAAATCAATCACTACTCTCGCAAAGCACTTATTTACATCACGAACTGTAATCATGAATCAATTCAATTAGCCATTAGCATATCTTGATTCATCTCTGGCACTCACAGAAGCTGTTTATCCGCTCAGAGACACCCGAGACAGGTGTGACAATGAGCTGCCTGTGTAAGCATTCAAAAAGTTACACTATGCATCTATTCGTGGGCGTTTTAATTACACTCATTGCTCATTCACTCGTCAGAGTGACACTCACTTAGCCACCTCCCCTTTCCGTGGAAACTTTACGCATAAATGTTTACAGAAAAACATTTATTTGCACATTGCACTCTTTATGCTGTGAAAAATAAAAAAACAACAAAATAAAAACAGCGACAACAAAAATAAAGAAAAACAAAACAAAAATGCGAAAATGGAACCAAAAATGCAAGGCAAGCGATGCTGAATATTCCATTGCGGAATTTGAAGGAAAAACAATTTCTTAGAAGTCGCAGTTCAGATACTCTAATTAATATTTAAGGAATGTTATATTCTAAAGGAAGAAGCACTTTCCATTCAATAGCATATGGTAATATTTTTAGCCACCTTCCCTATGATAGTTTTATGAGTTTTGATAATGCTTTACACATTTTCACATATAAATTTTCCATAAAATGCAACAGCATTTATCTCCTTTAATTGTCCATTAATATTTTCCGCTCAACAAAGCAGCTGTACCCTCGACAAATTTTCCAACGGAAACATTTTCAAGTAGCTGAATAGCAACAGTGAAAAATTTTACAAATTGTATTTCAAGTTCAACACGTCTGTCAGCACTGACCCCACGCTACTGCTGCCGTTTTTTTTTTCAGTTCCCCTGGGGACTACTGTCCACTCCGCATCGAAACAATATATGAACAATATTGTGCACTGTCTGTTCTATCAGTTCTCTCCGATGCTCGATGTCCGATTTCGGTGACCCTTCTCCCTTTGCATGGATGTAAAATATTTCCTTGTAAAAGCAATTTAACGAGCCCCAAAAGAAAGACAACCAAAAATTGTGTTTGAAGGAGCAAACACGTTCCTCTGGCTACTGCGACTGGAAACTGTCTACTGGATACGGGCTCTCCAGCAATTTGTTTGCTTTTGCGACAATTATAAATATGAAGAAAGACGTAAATAAATAAGCTGAGAATTAAATTTGCAAAGGCTTAAAAAACGTACATTGTTGTGTGTTTTCGGGGCCACAGATTCTATAATATTTATTTAGCAGAGTTCATTTAAAATTCAACAAAAAATGTTTGCTCATATTTCAGCTTGTGATTTTGAGTAGACACATTTATTTATTATATTTTATATGCAATTAGTCATGGAATCAAGTTCCCAACACTTTTAATCTGAATTTAAATAGTTATTTATGTCCAGTGTATATAATTAGTGGTTCCAAATATGACCACCAACATTAATTACGGCAAAACTAGTGCCATAAATTAAAATTGATTGTTTACAGCGCTCCCATCAAATTACAAAACAATCGGAAATGATAAATAAACGATGAAAAATGCCACAAATATTTTGCAAACAAATCAAATTTTGTGGTCAGCGGGCAATGATTTGTGAATGATTTTGGCTTCTGGGTATCTGGCAGATTTGTCGCTTATTGATTAACATTAATTTCGTTGTGGTTCGGCACCATTGTCGCACAAGTGTTAATTGTAAGGGTTAAGCACTTCCATTTCACTCGATAAAAACATTCATTATTTTCCTTGCTAATTTCACTTTTTCTCATGATATTTATTTATAGATTTATTTCAATCGCCTGCACATTGTGCTAAGATCTCAATTCTATTTACTTTTAATTATGCGCTTTTTATCTTATCACCCTTTTTTCTGTGCGGTTGCTGCTATTGATAAGGCATATCATAGAGCATACAACGTGAAAAACACCAAAAGCCGTCGCATTTTAATAATTTATATTAAAAATTTGAGAAAAAGCCGCGTACTTTTAATTGAGTTTTTTCTTTTCTCTTTGTCGATGCGATTCGTGCGCGATTTTCTCAGCGCTTCGAACGCGCTCGAATGGTAAACCGAACTGAGGAATCGGAAGCAGCCGCATACGACACGACGATGCGATGCCGATGCCGAAGCTTTGGCAGCGACGCTAAAGCTTTGTCGGCGACGACGCCAACGCTAAGCAGCGAAGCGCTGCCAGCAGCTGCGTAGGTGATCCGCAAAGGGAAAAAAAGGAGACAGGCAGATGTAAAATGGAGGATCCTGCGAGGGGAAATCTAATTTCCATGTGAGGCTCATTGACTAAGACACTGAACTTATTTCTTGTTCTATATTTAGTTATTTCCCATGGAAGAGGGACCAAAATTCTGATTGTAGATTTGATGTTCATGGTAAACAATTCAATTGAAATTGTGCAATGGGAAAAGAATGAAATTATAATCAAAAAAAAAGAATCCAGACCCTGGGGTAGAACACGCATGTACTCAGATTTTCTTTGGTTCTCTTTTGCCTTTCTATATGCCTGTTGTCCATTACGTCCTCACATGGCCAAATCCAATTTGAATTTCAACTACGCTCCAGATAGTACATTCGCAGCCGGGACTGGTCCAAGAGCTCCGCTCCTGCTTTGATTACACAGATGCAAACACACATGCATACAAATGGCAGGCAGATAATACGCATCCCCAGCGTGGCACGCATTAAATGTTTGGCTCAGTGTGCGTGTGGTGCACCCATGCCTGTGCACTCCATTTCCTTGTTTTCCCCATGCTTTCATATTTCAGTTTTATTCTCACTTTCGTTCTATATATGTTTCTTTCTTCCCTTTTCCTAGCACTTGAACTTAATAAATCACATGGATGAGACCGAGTTTTTTGGGTTTAAAGAATGAGAGCAATGAGTATGGAGCGGAATGAGATGCACTTGTTGCCATCACTTGCGTTCCCTGCGTTTCGTTTCTACATCAGAGTGTCAGAGTGTGTGCATCTGTGGGATGGTACATTTTTGAGTTGCTGTTTGCAATCCTTTCAGGTTTTCGTGTTTGTTGTGTCAGAAATTTTTGAATTAAACCAACTGGCGCCTAGTCCTTCCAGAGGATTAGCATCAGGAGTACATCTGTTCACTTTGTGCATCAACAATTGGAACACTCAGACAGTGTCAGACAAGTCTGTCCTTCTGTCTGGGTCTCGTTCTATGTGTGCTCTCCCTGTGTATGTATGTTAGCCATAAATTAGATTCTTCCTGCCACGCTTCGCATTCAATGCCAACCATTTCTGCAGTTTCCTGTTTGAGGCTGGCATGGCATTCACACAGCTAAATGGATAGATAGTTAAATGGATGGATGGATAGCTAAATAGCTGAGGGCCGTGGCAGATGGCAATCATAGGGAAATCTATCCAATTTGACTTCTGGCTGCAGTAAGGAAGGCCTTAGAAGTTGCTTCAGTTTGTTATTGAAGGAGACGGAGAGCATTTCCTTTTGAAATTGAAATTAAATTCCTGTTCCTCTGCCGCCCAGCCACTTTTGCCACTCATCTTTATATGTAGCGCGGACATTTACATTAAGATTTTATTCAGTCGATTCTGGCTTACAGTGCTCCGCCCTGAAATCCATATAAATTGTCAATAAAGGAGCAAATGACTCAAATGAAGTTGTCTGGTAAAAATGTTAAGCATCCTCTCTTCTGTCTTTTTCCTTATCCGTTCCGATTTTTTCTCTTTCCGGAAATGGCATCAGATGAAAAAGCACTAAGGGAATGCCATCGAAGCAAGATAGATTGAGAGAGAAAGCTGATGAATGCCAATGTTGATTACACCGAGCAAGGACATCAGCCGGAACCAGCACAATGACTGGCCACAGACACTGTGGCACATCACGCATACGCCACCGTTGCTTGCCCTTATCCCTTGCCCTTATCCCTTTGTCTCAGAAAGCGAAATGTTAATGCATTTAAATAATTTCCTTAAGTATCGTTCTTATTGAAATTAATAAATAAAAGACACTGCATAAAATACTGTTAATGGTTCCCCCACCTCCATCTCTCTGTCTCTCCTCAGACAGAGGTTTTCCTTTTCCCTTATATTGCATTGCTCATACGCAACGTTTTCTGCATTCAATATTTCCCATTGCTCTTTAGCTCTTTATGGGTGTGGATGAGTATGGGTGGTTGGGTGAGCATAGCTCCAAGCAATAACTGTAAATGAAAATAGCAAACAAGGAAAACAGAATCTTTATTATGGCAAGTGGTAGAGCAATCAGTGGAATAGGGAATACTCTATTCATTCTGCACAGAAAGTAGCCCCACGGAAAGTTTTCTCTAAAGAACTCTCTCACACAATGAATACTGCCTAAAAATTGCTAAATGTATTCAAATTGAACTGCAAAAGATTATATTAAAATAGTTTTAGAACATGAACATGAACATTTCTTGTGCCTAACATTTTGTAAATCTTCCACTTACACCCCAAACTGATTTACATTTTCTCTGCCAAGTTATCTCTAGCTTTAGTCTGGCAATATGCCGCTTCAAAGGGATTTCACAGCGTGTTCCGGGGAGAAGGGAGAGTACCAACTATAAAATCTCACAACCATCTTGTTTACAACTCGTTGTCTAGCACACATTTTAATCAGATCACATGCTTCTTTCTGAACAATTGTTGTACTAATAGGCGGAGATAGAGATAGAAAAGAGATTTAAGGAGCTGCATATGACAGAGAGGACAGGACATCGCTTGGATGCGCTGTGGACTTTATTGTTCAATTTGTGTGTACGTGCAGTGTAATTATCTTGAGCTCTGGATGGATAAATGACTCAACAGCATCGCCTGCTGTCAGATTGGAACTTGATTTTCAGGATTTTGTTAGGTTTCCTTTTACCCCATTAGTACTCTGCCAGCAATTGGTGTTCAAGTTTTCAACGTAATTAAAGCAAATAACTTTTCAACAAGTTGGTGAGAAGAATCTATATGGGGTAAAAGGCGGAACAATGGCAGAATTTTATAATTAATTCTATTTGCATGCTTAATCAAAAGGTGGCTTCTGCCTCTTCTTTCACGAAAACTTTCTACAAAACTTTTCTTTCCGCTCTAACCTAATGTGCTGAGCACACTTTTCCAGTCGGCTGGGGTCTTCGGTCTCGGGTTATAGTCTATCAAAACTTTTAGTTCTTTGCTTGAGAAAAAACCTTTAGGCAGCATTTTTCATCACTGCATCTCTGTCTCCTTCTCTCTGTGTATCTGTGTGCCCCGCTTAGGTGTGTTCGTGTCAGTTGTGGCAGCTTGACTATGGCAGTGTGGCAGTTACAGTTCCCACTGTGCGAACCGCATCAGAACATCACAAACTAATAGGAAAGCCCCAAAATGGTTGCAAAATATGACTCTTTAATACACTGCAAGGGCACAGGGGAATGCTCTGTTAGGGTATATTGGCTATGCAGTGGAGCCAAATAAACATTATACTCAGAACTAAGTAAGTTTTCCGAAAAATAATAAAGTAATAATAATGATTTCTAAAAATAAAATCCTTCCTTTTTACAGCTTTCCACTGAGATAAGTCTCAATTTCTTTCAAGTGAATTTACAGTTCGTTAGTTTCGTCTAAATTTGATTGCCAGCTCGAATGGTTTTTGGGTTTCACCATCTGATAAGAGCTGAGCAGTGGCCACATCTGGTGTCGGCATTATTACCCAGCTCTCAGTCCTGTTAATGATGCACTGCGGCGGTCTGACAGGCAGTTTGGCCATGACACCAACCACACCGTGATACCTCGGTCTCCCTTTGCACACCCTCATCTCACAATGTCCATCTGCATCAGTTCTTCCCTCCTGCTCCATCTCTGTCTCTCCCACATGGATGAGAGCTTTGGGAAATTTATAGTTTTGGCACTTTAACGATTTAAACCGCAATGCAGTGGCCCCAGGAGAAACAGCAGCAGCAGCATCAGCCGCATGCGAATAATTGAAAAAGTCATCTACTCTGTGGCATTATGGATTTCTTTTTGGCCAATATGCCTACACCATTTGGTCAGCCAATTAATTAGTCAAGAAAATTCAACAAACGGTTGCAAAAATATTTCCCATAGCTTGCGGTGGCTGCAAAACCTTCTCGATACCTTTGGGATAAATTTGGCAAAAAAATTGGACATGGCAAAAAATGTGTTAAAAATTCAAATAAATTTCGAATTTATATGAGGCAGATCGAGTGCAAAAGAAATATTTGCTACAGTATGCATATATGTATGAATGAATGTGCATACATATGTACATATATTTTATCTTATGTTTTTTATTTGCCATGTGCAGGACTTATTGAATGTAAATTGATGTATATTTTAGCTATTTTAAATTCAATTGCAATATTAGACGAATCAATGAGAAAAACGGAACAACTAAAAAAGTGGATTCCGGTCGCCAATTAAAGGTGCACAAAAAACAAGACAAACAGCCAAAATGTCTGCTACACTTTTTGCCCGAAATGCGGCTGCCTTTGATTGTGGAAATGTGCATCTGCAAACAACAAATAATTATATAATTGATGAGCAATTTGTTCGCCGATTGCGTTTTAATTTGATTACTTTCGGTGTGCAGGAGTAGAGGGGGAGTAGGTGAGAAATTATGTGAAATATTGCCCATATTTTATGGAATTATTAAAATGGATGAATAGGTAAAGGACACTCTACTACCCCTTCTAACTTAAGCTATTTTAAGGGTTGGAGTTGCAGGCCCTTTAAATAGGTTACGCTCTGGGGTGGGGCTGTCAACAAAAACAGAGAAAAACTTGTCTCATATTTTCCTGAAGAGAAGCGAACGAGCTTTGGTGTGTGATTTTCCACATTTGAATAATTGATTAGTAACTGGGGTTCAAACCGGTCAAGAGCTGCTCGTTTGTCATATTGATAGTCTTGTTTTTAGGTAAATATCCATTTATTCTGAATTAAACCTAAACAGCGCAGTTATGCAGACATATAAAGTGTCACAGATGCATAAAGAGAACCATTTGGGCCCTGTTAGAGAGCAAATTGGGGTTCAATTTAATTAAATTTATGCTTAACTTTTGTGTGCCCTAGCTGAATGGTTGACTATG